GAAAAGGAAAAGGAGGAGGATGAGACTGTCCCAGGGTCAGATACTGTTCAATATTAACATTTGGGAGGGTGAAATAGAGAACATACAAAAATTTTGGATGATGGGCTATAAGCTAAAGCAGTTTATGTGGAGTTTGGAGAATTGGGATACAATCCAGAACAGCTTTAAATTAAAAAAATAGAAAGCCAATGAGAAGAAATTAAGGATAAGTGAAGGTTGTTACACATTAGAAGAAAGTAAAATTCAAGGAGCAATGGTCAGTAACTGGTCAGGGTGTAGCTGCTTAGGAGGGATCTGGGGTTCAAAGTGCAGCACAGATGGATCAGGTGTCACCCCAGAGCAGGGGCAGTGTCCCCTGGGCTGTGCTAACAGGGCTGACACCAGGAACATCAGCATCTCAGGGGTTTGCAGTGGGAAGGCAGCGCAGGGGATTGTCCAGACCAAACCTCCTGCTCAGAGCAGCATCAGGATTCCCAGGGCCAAATCCAGCTGGGTTTGGGATAACTCCAGCAATATTTGGGAGCTCCACAACAAATCTGGCCAAGCTGTTCTGATATCTGACCACGTTCACAATCCAAGAGTTTTAAGGGGCTTTCCTTGTTCCAGCATGTCCATTGCCTCTTGGACACAGCTGGGAAGAGCATGGATTTGTTGCACTCAGTCCCATCACTCAGCTCATTGATGAAAACCTTAAATGCTTTTGGCATTGCTTTCAAATAGCAAAAGGAGGCTCCAGACAATCTACACCTCGTTAACATTCGTGAAAATTCAAGGTATGTCCTCAGATAACCCCTGCTGGCACATTACCAAGGTAACAGAGGCACAGGGAATCAGATCTGAGGAACTTTCTGGGATAGACAGAAGAAGCTACAGGGGGATCAGAAACAAGCAGTTATTAAGGAAGAGAGGTCTGGAATAAACTTCAGCCCACATTGCCTAGAAACATTCATAACCTTCAGTGCTGCTGAATCACAGGGGGGGATTGGTTTGTTTGGCTTTTTACAGACAACCAACCTCTGAAATAATTATTCCAATCTTGCTGGTGCTGGAATTTTGTGTCCAAGTTGGCATAGGATGTTTAAAAACAAAATATGCACAAATTTAAGGTAATCCTAAAGAGAGCAAGAAAAATTAGGAGTGGGGAAAAGATTACTGGGAGGAAAAGTTGGAAAAAGATTATTGAAAAAAAGAAAACTAAACAGGCTTCCACTGTGCTAATGTCATTACAGAGAGGATGCAAAGGATGAAATTGGCTTAATTTGCAGACAGAAAGATTTAGGTTAGGGGGAAAAAATGCATAAATCTAAGGCTAGCTTTGGACTTGAGGCTACCTACAAGGTTTAGGCAGGTCAGACAAACGTTTGTAACAACAATCCTGCCTCTAAGCAGAACAACAAACTGGGGGAACTCATGAGAACCTTTCTCTGCAGTCTATTTCAAAGGCTGCTCTCCCCTTTCACAAGGTTTCAGAAAGGTTTATGGGATTAAACTTGCAAGAGTTAATAAAATACATTATCAATTCTAGCCTGCTTCTTTGTTTTTTCCCATCCAAATAGTAATTGTTTGTGAAAGGGCTGACACTGAAGAGCAACTGCCAGGGTTCATGCAAGTTCATTTCCCATCTGATCGTTTTAATGATGCTTGGTGAAAATCTGTTTTGTGGAATTAATCGTTGCTCTTTGTTCCCTTTGGTTATTTGAATCTGCATCCAAACCCCATGAGCACAGCCCTATGTCCCCCTGTGAAAGTGGAGATTGAAATTAAATTGGGGTTGATACAGGCTTGTTTTGAATCTTGAATATTTTCATGATGATTTGTCCTTCCCCTTTATAGAAGGAGAAGCATGACAATCCCAAATTGTCTTCATGATGGTCCAAGGGACAACAAGATTGGTGGCACAGCCCAATCCAAAGATCTCCTCAAGCAATCTGCAGCAGGCTCCTCAGCTGCACTGCCCTTGAAATGCCATCATTCTGGGGTAACAGACAGAAAAAAAAAAGGTAAGAAATGGGTTTTGAACCAAGATAAAAGTGCAGCATCAAGGAAGGAGCAGAAGTGCAGAAAGCCTGAGGGCACCCAGGGTCAGATGGAACCCGGGGCTCTGCACAGCCACAAACCACTTCAGACAGTCTGCAGAGCTCTGGTGGTTGGGAGCACCCTGGTGGTGCTTCACTGTTTGGTGCTGCAGGGCATCACAGCTGCAACCTGGTTTGGTCCCACCAGGAACCAGAGGGAATTTGGACTGAATTCCAAGCAGATCCTCTGGTTTAGCTTCCTCCAAAAAAGTTGCCCAGGTTGCTCAAGGTAAGTATGAGCAATCAAGTGATTTGCTTCAAAATTGCAATCCAAACTAAGCCTCTCCTCGTGATAAAGCCTGGCTCAACCTAATCCATGCTCAGGAGGTCCTGCTTTCCGTCCTGCCCACTGCTGCCTGCTCCTGCCCCATCTGCAGGTGCGAGGGAGCCTCCAGCAGGGCAAGGTGAAGTGACCTCAGCAAGATCCAAACAAGGCAGAACTAAAGAGGGAGGGATGTCAGCCCCCAGAGTCCAGAAAGGAAATTCAGGGAGCAAAGAGATTTCTTCTCAGTCAGCACCTGCTGTGTGTGTCTGAGCCCTAGTGCTGACTGGAGGGAGGGAGGGGAGAATGTGGAACTACTCAGACCAGGCTCCCATCAGCATGAGAAGTCACAGAAACTGCACTGGAAGAAGTCATGCAGCAGTTACAGATGAAAAAGGACTCATCAAAAACTGTGCTTTGATGGAAAAGCTCATCTTTCAAGAGCATTATCCTACAAGTTTTTGCCTACCAGCTTGCATGAGGAAAAGTAAATCTCTCTGGATTGAAGGCCAAAGGTAAGCCTGAGTGCTGTTTCATCTCCTCTTCAGCCTCATTCTGAAATCTTCACAGTGTAAAAACCATAAGCACTCTCTGACATCTGATGCCTGAGTGACTGCAGCTCAGTACTCACTTGGTGGGAAATGTGATTTTGTGGGGCTTATGCAAGGTAGCATTACACTTTGAACATGTGTTTGTGCCACAAAAGAGCATTTTACAGACACATCTCTCAGAAAATTTCCAAATTAGGTCTGCAAATGAAACATCCATCCCCATGAGCAGCTCAGTCCTTTGCTGAGAGGAGCTGTAACTTGCATGGGTCTGCAGAGGAGTCTGAAGCAGAAGCTTGTACATAAATCACCTTTTTGATTGTGCCAACAGAAAATCCTCAGCCTCCATGACCTCCCACTGCCAATCTACAGCCCCATCCCATGGACAGTGGTCAAAGACTGTGAGGAAAAACATTGTGGGGAGAAAAAACAGTGGTAAAAGCTGTGCTTGTCCAGGAAACTCAGGAGGTGGAAGGACAGGTTGTGTGGACTCTTGCATTGCAAGAAGATTTCTGAGTCACCAAAGCCCAGTGAGGCTGCTCATGGTGTTGGGAGGGACAGCTCTGGGTGATGCTTCAGTTCTTACAGGAACTGATGGCAAGAAGAGCTAAAGCCTTGTCCACATCTTCAGCAAGGAAAGCAGTGAGTTTTGCCGCAGCTGTGCCCACTGATATATTTAAAAGAGATAATTCCTACTGGATAAAATTTGGAATGAACTTGTTATACTGGAAAAACAGTGCTGGTGCAGGAATGTTCACAGAGCTTCTGCACGCAGGGGCAAGGGGAAATTTATTTTATTAATTTTCTGTGTGCTGAGAGCCTTCTCAATCCAGTTGTTCTCTATTACTGAAGTGCACAGAGTGCAGAATTTTGCTGGAACAGCAGAAAATGCAGGTAGGGGTGAATGTCACATCCCTGAACCATGCAGATATTAGAGCTTTCTCATGGAATTTCTGCCCCTCTTGATGAGGGCAGAATTCAGCACATTGCCCCCAAGTTCTCTTCCTGCAAAGCCTAAGAAGATGGAAACAGAAAATAAGTGGTTTGTTTCTTCCTCTCAGTGTCTGTGGGACTGTGGCTCCAGCAGCACTGATGCACAAGGAAAGCATTTTCATGAGCTGTTAAAACAGCAGAAGCTTGTTTTCCTTTGGCTGCAGCATCCTCCTGCCTCCCACGCAGGAAGTGTTCATGCAATATTCCACATAGGCAGAATATGTCCTGTTCCTAGAAGTCTAAATACAAGAAACTGTAGGGCATTTAAAACCCAGGCTGCTCTTGGATTAGAAAAGTGAGAGGTAATCTGCTTTCATGGGCTGCAGTTCCCAAATTGTTCCCTTTGTCCCTAGACTTGATGATCTTTGGCCAAACACATCCTTGGTGTGTGTGTGTCTCACTGAAACCCAAGGATGTCACCAAAGGTGACACACCAGGTGTTATTGTTGTGTCATGGACAACCTCCTCCACATAATAAAGATGTCTCTGAAGGTGGAAATTCATTATTCCTGCATTCTCAGTGCACCTAGGTGAACTTTACCATGAGAAAAACAGCCAATATTCCACTATTTCTGCTCTTTTGCACCAAAGCAAACAAGTCAAGTGGTTTCAGGAACTGGCCACATCACTGAGATGGGGAGGGCATATTGCATATTCACAAGAACTTCAGATTGTTTTATTTACACTTCCATTGCTAGGGGCTGTGGAATGGAACATAATTCTATTTGCCAGACACTCTTCCTGGTGCAATAAGCTAGAGGAATTCTCAATTAATACATGGAGCTTATGTATAAAAGACAAGAGGTTAAGTAAGACTGCAGTGCCCAGTGGACCATCTGGTGAACATTAGGTTTGTCAATAAATCACAAAAGCACCAGTTCATCAAGAAAATTCCATTTCAAACCACTGACAGGGAAAAGAAAAGATGGGGGAAAAACCCTCACAAAATTGGTATTTTGATATTTTATAAAAACAGGAGCATTAAATAACTTTAATCTATTTTCAGTTATTTTATTGGTTCTCTTCCAATGACCACGTAGTTTCACATCCTGGATGTTTGTACATGAGAGCATCATGAAATAAGTGGGTGCATCACCTCAGGAGAAGCTCCTCTCTTTGCTCTCAGTCTTTCTCCTCACCATGGGTGATGACATAGCACAGGTTCTTATAGTCAAGGTTCCCAGAGACATCTGGAGGGAAAGCAGCAAACATCTGGTTGATCTGCCAAGCAAACAGAGAGAAGTGTCACAGACTGTGGGACAGCAACAAGAACAGTTTTTCATTCTACACCCAGCTCAGCTCCCTGCTGCCCTGGTCCTTTAACCATCAGGGAGAAGTTTTCCTTGGGCTCGGTAAAGTTGAAACATAACTGGTTAATAAAGTCCTGCTAGAATCCCACAAGTTCCCTGTTGAAAAGGCTTTCCCTGAAACCCAGGTAAGCCCTGGTGGATAAATGTCCAGTCTCTGTTCTGTCCACAGTCCAGCTCCACTCCATCTCCTCCTCTGAAAATAAAGTCCCCCTGAATTCCTCCCAGCCAGCAGAATCCATGCTCAGTCTCACACAAACCACCAAGTCACTACCTCATTTTGGATTTCAAACCAAGTTACTCACAAAAATGGAAACCAGAACACAGTCCCCACCCAAATCCACTTGGACTCCAGTAAATCAGTTGCCCAGCTGCCCTCCATAGGGAGATAGGCCACACTTGCACTTGGATGGGAGTCCAAAGAATCAATTTGACTTTGATTTAACCATGGAGCTCTTCAGAAGAGATGCTTTGAATTGTTTCTAATTGCTAGAGCTGGCATCAACCTCCTCTCAGGCTGGATTTCAGCTAAATTCATGCATTTAAAGAGGGGCAAGGACTTAGTGCTGAACAGGAGCTGGATCCCTGGCTTGAATAAAGTTCCTTACCTCTTCTTGACTGAACCGGTCTGCCTGTGTCATGAGCATTTCTTTGATGCTGTTCAAATAAAACGAAATAACCTGATTAAAGGGTGATAATGGCACATGACAATTCAGATGGCAAGATCCCTCCTGAAGTTGCATGAAAGAAAATCTGTGTGACCGCATAAATTAGAGCTGCTAATCCTTACATGATATTGTAAGAGATTTTCTGTGGGCACCCATCAGTGTCAATGCCTCGCTCTGCCAACTTATTTCTCTTTTGTGACACTTTATAGAGGTTTAAAATTGTTTAAGGTTATTACTGTAATTGAAATACAGCAATTTTGTATGCTTATCTTAGCCTAAAATGGTAGGTTTCCTCACTTGCTGCTTAAAGTTTGGATCACTTAACAAAACCAAAAGAGGGAATATTTTCTGTAAAATCTGAGGATGAAAGGAACAGAGCATGAAATGAGAAAGAGGACTTGAAAGAGAACTCGAGCCTCTATTGCCAGTCATCACTGGAGAATGCTTTATTTGCATGCAGCCATTCCCAGAGGAGCTGTGGAGCTGCATGAGCCCTGCTGTATTTCACGGTACCCTGTCTTGATCTGGAGTCACAGCGCTGGAACACGGAGCTTATCCCACACACAATCTGCATCCCGTGCAATTACATCAAAGAGAATCTTTTGGGGGCAGACTCTCAGCTGATTTACCCTCTGTTTTAAAACCATTGTGGGAAGGCAGTCGAGCATGTAAATTTTTTTTATTTTTTTTACCTAAGTTTAGAGGTGAATAGAAAAGCCAGGAAGAATTATTTTTGTTTCTAGTCTAACCCCTGTACATAAAATATCTTTATACCTACCCCAGTTTCTCATGTACTGAGATGCAGATGCACCACGTGCTGGGACATTCACCAGTATAAACTCACTTAGATTCACATAAACATCCCTTCAATAACATCAATAATTTCCTCTTCCTGTAGAAGAATTCCTATATTAATCTCACAGTTTTCATTCACGCTGAAGAGGCAGAGTTGTCTCCTTTTGTCGCTACCAAATGTATTTATACATTATCAGACACAGCTCTGGAGCAGTAAAACAAACTGTAAAGCTGTGATAACAGGTGAGCAGTCTGTTGTACAAAAACAAAAGCTGAGGCAAATATAGAAATCTGGTTTGGTTTGTGGATTTGAAAAAAAAAGCTGCTTTTTTCAAGAATTTGTTGTGGGGGGAGTGAGAGTGGCAGCTTTTCTAGAAGAAGTCCTTTCTGCTTTTTAAAGGGAATATTTAAAACTATTTATAACAGAAATGTTAGAATATATAGAATATTTATAACAGAAATCATGCCTGAACAGGAACACTTGCAGGGGAGCAAAATTCACCTACCATGGGTGCAGATGTTCAGGCAAAACAATAAATCCTCCCTTTCTGCCCATGAGAGAAGTCCCCCAGACAGAAGTGCAGTTTGGGTGGCAAAGCTACAATGGCACTCACAGCTCTGACAAATGTGATTTTTTTCCAGGAAAAGGCTACACATCCCAGTCTGTGGCAGGGGCACAGACACTTTTGGAGCTCTTATTGGTATAAATGCACATTTGGAAGCCCAGAAAGGGAAAATTGAAAACAATGAAGAAGGACAAGTGTGAAAATATCTGTGCAAGCTTTGGGAACACACAAAGCTTAAGCTAATTGGTATATTTTTCTTGCATTACTTCACCATTCTCTGTAGTTAGCTAAGTTTCTTCATCTCTTTGTCTCAAGTTTCTGTTTCTGTTCTGTTCCTCTGGCCACTTGGTATGTGACTGCATTTTTGAAGGCAAATTCTCAAATGATCAGTGGGTGCAAGAGTAGAGAGATCATACCTCTCAGCATAAATTATTGGATATATTGGATGTATATGGATTATTGGATATATATGCTCTGGACAAACAGAATTAGCAAATGCAAATGGAAGTGTGATCCAGGAAGGAGCTTGGTGAATAGAAGGAAGCACTTACAGCAATTTTGTCAGAAGTCACAAATAAACTTCATTGCAAACAAGCCTGAATTAAAAAGAGATCTGGGCACTGTGTGTCTTCTATTCACATGCTTAAAGTATTTAGGGGAAAAGATCAAATATCTAATTATAATCTTCTGATGCACAGCCCAGTAGGCTCTGGCACACTCACAAGGAAGAAGGACTGACTAAAGGATCTATGCACATTTTCCATTATTTATTTTATAGGGAAACAAACACTCACCATTTCCAAAGCCAGAAATTATGCACTTTTTTTGGTTTTGTATCTTGTTTTCTTTAGGAATCTTATATTCTTCTCAAAAAATAGCCCAAAAACCAAACCAAACCTCCCATTCGCAAAAAAAAAAAAAAAAAAAAAAAAAATCCATTTCATTTGCCTTGACTTAGGAGTGTAAATATTGTCTCTTGTCCTGGCTCACATCAATTCCTTCTACAGTTACAAATGCCTTGTTGCATTCTGATATCTTTAAAGCCTTTTTAAAAATTATCTGTAAAATCTCTGGGACATTTTTGGTTTTTCTCTGGGTTTGCCTTTTCTACAGTGCTGTCTTGGAGGAAACCAGGTGAGTGGGAAGGAGCAGAGCTCCACAGCTGTGGGGAGAATCATCTCCAGCTCAGCCAAACACCTCCAAAGCCCAGCATGCCTGGGACCTCTTCCACCCCCCTGGGTCCATTTTCATTTGGCCCAAATCTGAAAAGTTTCACTGGCCTCAGCATCAGGCACAGTTGGTGTTGGCCTGAGTCACTCTGCCCCACGAGTGGCATTTGGGACTGAATCATCCAGCCTTTCCAAACACTGCCCCAGTTTACACCAGCTGAGAATGGGACTGGGAGCTTTTTCTCTTTTTGACATCATGCTGTGGGAAGGGTTTTATGTGTGGTATAATGATGCAGACAAACAAAGTCTGTCATTGAATTTGGAAGTAAGTTATAAACTCCTGGAGCTTCTGGAAAGGTTAGAAGGCTCCATCCCAGCTACCATCACATGGACTAAGTGAGTCATTTCCAGACTAGAGGTGAAAACACGCAGAGGGAAGAGACATAAAAATCCCCAGAAGGATGTTAACTCCATGAACATGAAAATGAAGTTCTGATTAAAAGGTCAGCATGACTGGTTTTTGAGAGAAACATTCCAGGATTTTTTAATACAGAGAAATATTATTTATTAGCATTAACTGTCGCATTGAAATGGTTGCGTGAGCCAACAGAAAAATTATTTCAAAACTTCAAATGTCTACATTTTGGAAGCATATGAATAGAAGTTAAACCTCAAAGACATCCACAGAATTGATTTAATGGTTTGTTCTGTAATGATCAACATTACCCTCGGGTCTAATAAGTAAACATTATGCTCTGTTGTGGTGATGAACTAAAACAATTGTCTAATGTTAGCAGTGCAGTGGGGGTGGGGACAAGGTTGACCTTTTCCATCAAGGAAAAATAAAATATTTCTCTCTCATCTTAATTTTGGAGTGTGATACTGCATTCCTAATTTGCCCCAAACTCCAGCTGGCTTCCAGCATCCAAGGAATGTAGATCTGGACACAGGGTGGCAAGCTGCAGATTTTGTATGCAGGATATTGTTACAGATAGTGGTGGGAAATATAACATTTCATGGGTTCTGGAGTATCAGAAGGTCGTATTTCATGGCTGTGATTTCACTACTGTGTGATCTGCCCTATATGGCAAAAGGCTGCATTAATTCTGTTGTTTGAGTCACTTCTGATATGATCCCCTGACTGTTGTTCCCAAGCTCTTTGGGTGATGTTAACCTCAAAACCATCAGGACGGGTCGTAACCTTCTGTTACTTCTGATTGATTGCTACATCCACTTGTGTTTAATTAATTTGGAAGTTCTCACTCAAAGGACTGTCTCTTATTTTGCATATTGCAAAAGTTCTCAGACCCACTGGGGCACTGCCGTAGAAAACCACCTTGGTAAAGGAAAGAGATATTGAACATGAATCTTACATTTTCAACTACCTTTCATCAATTATTGCAGATAGTGTCATGGAAATCTCCACAGGGTTCTGGTCAGAGGCTACCACAACATAAACAGCAATAATTGATGTAAATGCAATTTTGTAACTCGTAGTTCCCTGATAGATTTCCTATACATATCATGCTTTATAAAATCCACCTGAAATGGCTGCTGCAGTAGAAGTACAGACCCCAAATTCACCAGGAAATTTCAGCATATGAACAAATTTAAACATATACATAAATCTAGGTACATAAACCACTTCTCTGGAGCAATAGGTCCAATATCCTTGTCCTCTGCCCTGATGTGATATAATTTAACTCACTCACCTGAAAGTCCTGCTTGCACCATTCTGGCAGTGCAAGGAGGGTTTGCATTTGTGCAAATACCTCTTAAAGTCTTTTTACATTGCTTTGTTGGTGCAACAGGATATGAATACAAATTGAGTTCTGCCTCCTTATTTAAAAATAGCCATATTGACAATGATTGCCAGATTATTAATAGTATTATTTGGTTTGGCTCTCACTGTATCTAGTGGAATTTTACAGCAAATTATTTCTAGAAGCAGAAGGCTCAAATGGTAAACACATAAAAAGGAAAATGTCCAGCACTAAAACCATGTCTCAGAGTTAATTAAATTGATCACTTTTTTAAAGAGGGGAGTAGCTTTCCCATTTTAGTCAAGCACTGAGAGTTAGGCACCAGACATTCATTTTAATTTTACATATGGAGTTAATTTACAAAGAGTCATGTGTCGATTTATATCCAGACCTTCAAAAAGAGGCTATCTAATGGCCTACATGTGATTATATTTCTGTTGGCTCTTGCAATGTCTGAAGACAATAACATCTCTTTTTGGTATACAAATACATTCATACAACAGTCCAGACTTTTAACTCTGGCTTGCAAAGCTAAATGTTTCTCTGCCTCTTAAAATACTGTGAAAAATGCAGCTTTTAAGCAGTTCTTTAAAACTCTGCAATTATTATTATTGTTGTTATTCTTCTAAAGGATTGGAAATAAACTTACTAGTCTGCCTTTATGCGGCCTTTTCCTTCTGGGTCGAAAATCTTAAAAGCATTCAGAATGGTTTCTTCTGGGTCCGTGCCTAAAATTAATGAAATATAATTTAGAAGCCTGGATGTATTTCTCTGGCTGCAGAATACTTGCTAAGTAATTACATTCGCTTGAAAACAGTGCAAAATGGAGAATTCTGCAGTTGTGGGTTTGAAGACAAAGGTTCCCTGAGTCGGCAGCATTTGTCATGTCAGATAAACAATAGAGGTGAATAGTTCAATGCTCAGAAGCTTAAAAATAATAACTCATATCTATTCTATGTCTGCAGGAGAGAAAACTTCCAGGAACTGGTCTCCAATATCAGTACCCAGAGGATTAGTGGCTTTCAGAAATGAAAATATAACAAACTATTTCCCTCACTGGCTTCCTTTAATCTTGCACTGTACGTTCCTTGTAAAAACACTTTTTGATGTTACTTGTTCTTGGCCATATAGAGGTTATTTCCCTCACTGAGGGAAATGGAGCTCATCATAAAATCCAAATGCCAATGGAATGCAATGGAAACAGGATGATCAATGTGAGATGGTGATCTGCACTTAAATCCCATTGTGCCCTTCCCCTTAAGTGTCTCTTCATTAAGTGTTACTTACAGAAACAGGACGGTTCAAAGAATTAGACTGTGGCTACAAGATTTTGCTTCTGCTCTTAGCTGGGCACAGATTTTTAGTATTACTTTAATATCCCTGTCTTTCTGTTCCCAGCAGTAAAATGATTGTAATGGTCTCCCTTTTCTTCCTTCCATTATCTATCCCATCTCTTTAGACTGGAAAACATTTGTGTCAGGGACTCATTTTCACAGTGCCTTAATCTTGGCTGGGGCTTCTGACTATTCTGTAATGCTGCAGATTCTGAGTAGACTCATTTTCAACCCACACCAAAGGATACACTGTGTACTCTGTTCCTGACTGTTCCCCAATATTTCAAAATATTCCCGTAGTATACACAATACAAATCTTTGTAACTATAGGAAACCAAATTTACAAGCAGATGAACTGATTCCATGGACAAAATGAAGCTATTTGGTATGCTGAAAGAGTGATTTAAAAAGGATACAACACAAAGGGGTTGAGGATTCAAAGTTTGTTTCAAAGTTTGGCAGAGGGAGAACCAGAACAGAACCCAGCCAAGGTTCCCTGCTCTGCAGACTCTCCTGATGCCTTCACAGTTTGCTTTGTTTGAAAGATTTCACAAGGATTAGCAGGATCCTGCAGGATAGAATAGTGAACACACCTCGGGCTATGTGGCCTCCTCCTTGCCACACAATGGCCATGTACATTATTTTTGCCAAGCTGTAGGCAGTGCATTCAAACTGCAATGAATCTGTGATCAATACAAAGAGCATTGGTGTTTAATGAGTGTTTGGATTGTCCCATGAAGAGAAACATCCCCCAGCTCTGAGGAGAGGGCTGCATTTTAAGTAGTCACCGCTGTGGGGGGGATTTTTTTTTCCTTACTGTGTTTTACATTTTCTACTCTGTCATATCCTTGGACTTTGGCTTTGAAGAGAAGCAATGCAGCAGGCATTCTTTATTGATTAGCTGGTAAATAAAGTGGTTTCTTTGATGTGCGGCATCTCTGTTTTCTGTACAAATTGTATTATTCTGACTCCCTGTAGAAGCAGCTCCATGTGGTTGGCATTAACATAAACCGAGTTTTGTTAGCTGTTCATCTGGCATCATAATCTCAACATACAAAGCTAAAGCTCATCCTGAAAATCCCAGCTTCCCCTTTATGACAGAAATCAATTATAGCACAACAAATTTTACTTAGAAAGCACCTTTCACCAAATTCTCTGAGTGGTACTTAGCTAATAAAGAGTGTTGCAAAATTGCCATATCCACTTCCTCTAGCCCTTTCTCCCTTTCTAATTGCACTACAAAGGCTCTTCATCCCAATTAGTTTTGATTGGGAATGTGCAGTCTTTTGGCTCTGCTTCCTTTGCATGACAAACCCAACCAGAAGGGCATGACAAGCACAGCTGTGATTTTCCCTTCACCAAATGGAAATTAAAAAAACCCTCCTCCTTTGCTAGTAGCCAACAGGAAACCTGCAGACAAGAGGGCTCTGCTTTGCCATTCACCTTCCTGTGCTGGCTCTGCTTTTAGGCCTCAGGATTGGCAGGGCCAGAGGCTTTGCCAGCTCCAGAAATGCTATGGAGCAAGGGGGAAGAGGGGAGAAGAGGAAGAGGGGAGAGGAGGAAGAGCTCATTTCCATGCTCACAATTGTAATGGGCAGCAGGGCACCCCACAACAAACACTCACATATCCCAGGAGGAAGAATATGGAGGAGGGAACTCCCTACTCTGCCAGAAGACGCCTGGAATGTCCTGGTGGAGTTGCCACACACAGGTCGATGTCTGGGCAGTAAAATCCTCTCCTCAGCCAGCCTTCTCCATCACTCCTCGTGCTTCCCAGACTTCCTGCCCTCTTTAGCAAGAGTGTCTTTCTTCCAGAACCAGCTACATGAATTCTTTCTTTCAGACCTCTCTGTTTTCTATTCCAAGCATAGAAAACCCTTCACTGGAATTGTGTTCGGCTATACAAAGCCAGAGTCCATCAACCAAACAATAAATGTTTTTAAGAAGATACGATCAGATTTTTCCATTTTTCTATTCATTAGTTATTTTTACAAACTTCTGGAATGTGCTTGGCTAAGACCAGCCCTGCTTTGAAGGCTTTCACCTTTCTCTCATGCCTGTAGGAAGATGACTGGAGTTCTGGCTTGGCCTCACACCCCCTCTCTTGCAGTTTCCACCCATTAACTGGAGAGGAAACATGACTAAATTATCAGCTCACACAGTGAATTTACTACCCACATTTCCTGAACTTCCCACAATGTTCCCTATATATTCTGTGGCAATGGGTAAAATCCCTCTCCCTTATCATTGTAAATCCACTGAAATTTAATTATTTCAGTGGATTTATTTATCCACTCCATTAAGGGTTATTCAGTAAAATCTTCACCTAATGGCAAAATCACCTCAAGTGACACTGAGGCTGGGCCATGGAGTTACAATTAATACAGAAAATGAGGAAAGCCCATATTTGCTTAATGTCCTAAGGAGTGCAAAAAGGGTGGGTTTTTAAAAAACAACTTAAAACCAGCTAACACAGGGAGTGCTATAACTAGAGCATGAGCATGAGTTCAGCCCAGGAGCCTTCTGATGGTGAATAACTCCCCTGCACTGTGCTCCAGGCTGCTGAGGTTTCATCACTTTCTGGACCCCAACTCAGCCCTTTCATGTTAGTTTGTGTAAGCTAAATCACACCTTTGAGTTGTCCTCTGCACCGTCCCTCAGCCTTTCATTCTTCCCCTCTGTCTGCAAAACTGGAGATCCCTCCTTGCCTCTAAGCACTGTTCTGTGGAGACATTATTGTAATTTGCAAGGTGCTGAGATATTTCAGTGCTGAGGATCTTTGACAGATACCTCTCCAATCCCCCAGAGGTACTTACCTTTCAGCTTTTCCCCAAACATAGTAAGGAAGACAGTGAAGTTAATAGGACCTGGCGCCTCCTTCACCATGTCTTCAAGCTCTTCATTCTTGACATTCAGACGACCTGCAGCAGAGATCATTTTTCATAATAAATCACAAATTGTGTTTCAAAAAACGATTCCCATTCATCTCCTCCCACTGGGGAGCTCAGGGCTCTGTGCAACTTTGCTAATAACATGGTAGAACACAACTCCCAAATACCCCAGTGAAAAAGAAATTGGCAGAGCTGGCTCTGAGATCAAAGGGTGACTGAAGGAGCAAGAAGGATAAATAACACAGACATGGCCAGCAGTGGACGAGAGAAAGGGAACTTCCAAATAAACTGCCTTTTGAGTTGGGGCTTTTTTTTTACCTCAGGTGAAATATGGGTCCCACTGATATTAATATAGCAGAGATCAAAGTGACTGAAGTGAATCCAAGGTCTCAGACTTTGCCCTCCTGGATATTGAGACACCTCTCTGAGTAGAGGGCAGATGGATGAGATCCCTTCCCCATCCTTGTGCAGCCCTATTGATGAGAGTTTAGACCCTGGCAACCCTCCTCAAATTGAGTGGTAATTTGCTGTGAATGTACTTTATAGGCATTGAAAGGCTTCACTGAACAGGAAAGATAGCAGAACTTGGCCTTAAGAAATAAATATTTCAGGGTAACAGTAGCTACAGGCCAAAGTTTGCAAACCTCATTGTCACAATAAAGAGTTCAGGAGCTTCTGCTCCTTGCACTGACTCTGCTGGCGTCTGATTCCACCCCGGGGAGCACTAAAGATTCTTATCAAGCTCTTTTTAATAAGCTCCAGATGGCAAAAGCCCAAATGCCTACATCACTGTTCAAGCCTCAAATGCTGCAAGAAGGATACAACTCCAGGTTTGGGATCATGAGGGCTTGGATTTTTTCTTTCCTTGGGAAGATTTGCTCTAATGTGTTTGATATCATCAAGGTTGTGATAGCCATGGAATGGACAATACCTAATCTCATGACATGCACATTTCACCCCACACAAACTCCCAGAACTTCACATGGAGCCCTCCTGGGTTTGTGTGGGCAGAGGGGCAGCTAGTCCATGACTGCAGTGCTAATCTGTGCATATTCCATGGCTCCCAGATGAAAAAGCCTGGCTTCAGAGGCAAATCAGAAATGCCTGGCATGGACCCCTGCTTGGGTGGGCTTCTTCTGAAATAGTTGCAGGGGAGGGATCAGATCTTCATTCCCCTCCCTGCTCAGGACACTTTCCAGCTGGAGCTGTGCAGTGAGATCCCAGCCACCACAGGGAGGAAGGTCAAACACAACAGGTTTCCTTTTGCCCCCTGTGTATCTCATTTCTTCCCCCACTGTCATTCTAATACCAACCTTTCTTCTGTGCTTGAAATTGAGACAGCATATCTCTTAAGTATTGAATTGTTAGTTTACCTAGTGCAGCAAATGTGTCTCTCAAATCTGCTTTGTCAATAAAGCCATCCCTGTTCTGATCCATGATGGTAAAAGCCTGTGGGAAGGAAAAGGAACAGGAATTGCCATTTCCATTGCACAGAACAGTGCTCCAGTCACACACATTAGTCCATGGGAGGATGATATTCATGCTGTAAAAAGGAATATTTAACTTCCTTTGATTCCTCCACATCATTGCACTTTCCTCACTTTCCACACATTACTGTATCTTGGCAAGGGGCTTAATTAAACCCACCCAAACTTCTTCTTACTAAATTAATGCTCAGTGCAGCGTGCATTGGGCTGAAGCCAATGCTGGCAGCTCCAGCCATTCAGCCCTTAACCCATAAAAGTTTGAATTAGGGAGGCTTTAGTCAGGGCAGATTTAGCCAGAGTTTGCTCTGTGTTTATACCTTCCCCATACTCCATTCTTTGAATGAGGCTGAAATGTTTCTGTAAAACATTTCATTTCTGTGGATATCTCTCTGCCATCAACCTGAAGTCAATTCCTCCTGAGCCTTAGAATGATCCATCACACAGAGATAGCTGAACTTTCAAAAGTACAGAGAAATGTAGGCTCCATAAGATTGTTTATTCAAAGGTTTTTTCCCTTTCCAATACACTGCATCTTTGAGACTCTGCTGTGTGCTCTGACTGACACTGATGTGCTGACCTTAAATACCCTTGTCAGGCAAAATTTAACTTTTGATAGATAAAAACAGTTGTTTTTTTTTATTTTCAGCCAACACAGACTTGGTGTGCTCTAACCATTGTTTACCAAGCCAGCTAACTGCTCATCTATCTGTTTACCCATTTGTGTGTCCATCTCTTGGCTGCAATCACACTTATAATGTTTCATTGATTTGGAAAGATTTTAATGATCTGAAATTCCCCTGGTCATGCCATGGGGAATATGAGTTAATCCTGGCATGACTGAAGCTGGTTATCTGTCTGACAGGCACATCAATATGGGACAGTATCTCTGCAATGGCCAGGAATTATTTTTTCTTCAGACAGTGCTCCCCTGAGATTGCAGTAACTTGCAGAGTTTTAAAGTCCACTGCCCTACAGGGTGCATTTCTTCCCATGAACAAGTTATCTCCACAAATCTTCAGGTATTTTCTCCTCCAGTTTCTTGCAAAGCCTCACTGCTCACAGCCCAGTTTGCCCATGAGGCTCCATTCAGTATTATGTTCATAATCTTATATTTACCTTCCAATCAATCCCCTTACAAAAAATTAAGCCCAACTCTTTGGAGATGTTTTGCCCTTGCTTTAAATGGTGATTCCCCATAATTTGGAAGCAAAAGAGAAAGAAGATACGAAGAGCAAAGCCAAACCCAGGCAGCTCACAGGAGACAGGAAGAGCATCAGGCACTGTAATGGATGAATTTTAAATAACATAACAGCAATGCTGAAACATTTGCTGATGAGCTGGTTGAAATCTCTAGATAAAAATATTCTAATCCAAACCAGGTTTTCAGAAATATGTGTCCCAGATATGCAGTCCTTAGACACAACATGGTTTTGGGTTTCACTCGACCACTCCACTGCCTCATGCTTTTGCCATTATTCTGCCACCATCCCCCTAGAAATGCTCCTGGTATTATCTTATTTAAAGAAGATCAAATAATGGCATTCTGTCCAGTTCTTTGTGCTGGTCCATCTTCAAATAGTAATTCTTGGAGAAAATAAATTGAGGTTCCTAGGATATGGAGAAGAAGTGGGAGAAGAGAGTCAAATACTCCCATTGCCTGTGGGGAAATGAATTTAGCTGGGTCATATCCCCAGGCCTTGCCTTGGGTTTGGTCTCATCCATCACTGAGCTTTCCTGGTGGCAATCCTCAAGAAAAGTAAACTTGAAAGCCACGTGAAAGCACAACATGAAACAGCAGACATTTATCACACTGGAAATTGCTTTGGAGACATGAGTTAGAAAAAATGGGGAAAAAATCAGTAATTTAAAATGACAAACCAGTGCAGAATGTGATGGTCTCATGGACTCTCTAGATTGTCCCCACAGAAAAAGAGCTGAAACTCATAAAAGAGATAATCTGTGTTTTATATTCTCCAGCTTTTAGGCCACCCATCAGTTTTGTTTCTTCACAGGTAACTGCTCAAAGAACCTACAGTGCCTGGAACACCAAATCCCTTGGGAGCTCAAAGTTGCTTACTTCATCTCCACATGTTGTCTTGTTTTATTGGCATTTGTGGAGAAAGCTGAGGGCTTCTTGGCATTTTCATTTCTCCTTTGTGGGCAGCTTTAGAAGGGCACAGACGAATATTTTCTGTTGCTGTTGTGGAACAGAGCAGGAATGAAAGCCCTGGTTCAGCCTGGCATCTCTATTCAGGACAATACTTGAGCACATGAGACTATTCTTATTTAAAATACCGCTTAACTTTAAACATGTGCTCAAGTGTTTTCCTGAATCAGGGCTGAAGTGGATGAGATGATGCTTTTCCTTTATTTTGGGGTGGGGGCTTGGGTGCTTTTCAAATAAGTCTAGAGAGAAACAGGGGAGTGAGTGAGGGAAGTAAAGAAAGAAAGAATGAAGGAAAGAACAAACAAACACACAAGGAAAATGATCTACCAGCCAAAACCACAGAGATGATTCAGAAAACAACTGTGTGTTCTATTAAAGCAGATGGAGAATTGAATAAGGATTACAAACAAAACCTATGTTGTTCATTAGCAATAACAGGAGACTATAGAGAACAGCGGAGTAGTGACCAACCTCTTTGAACTCCTGGATCTGGGTTTGTTCAAACATAGAGAAAACATTGGAACCACCTTCTATCTTCTTCTTTGCCTTTTTGGGAGCCTGGAATACAAATAAGAAGATCAAATATGTATTCCTTTGTCTGTTAAGCACCCATGAAAACAAATTACTTCTTCAACAGAAGGTGAAAACTCCACAGTCAAGTAATACAAGAGGATTGTGCTTTGTTATTACAAGGTTTTAAAATTCAATCTTATAGACAGGTTTAGATATACATATGATTGAATATATATATATATTTATTTATACAAGGGATAAAAATTGCTGCCTTATTAAGAGATTGAGGCTTTTTGCCACTCCCTGCTGTGTCCTGGGACCTGACAGCTCAGACAAACCAGGACAGTTTGCCACTGTGCTGCCTTTAAAAAGGTGAGACACCCAAAGTGTGGCCCAGCATCCTGCCTGGTGCACTGCTGGCTCCCCCAGGAGCTGCCTGTTCCTGGGGCAGGGTCACCTCCACCTCAAAGGATGCCAGGCCATGTCACACAGGGACCTCTCCCCTTCCACGCTGGCTCTGCAGAGCTCAGGGGTGACAGCCCTTGGTGTGCAGTGGTGTCACTTGAAGATATGAGCTAGAATTCCCTGCCTGCTCTTCCCCAGAAATTCCAGAATCCAGGTAAGTGCCTCCAAAGGCTCCTTCTTCCCAGTTCCCGTGCTGGGACTGGCAGCCAGACTCCAAACAAGGCCCTGCATGAAGACTCAGCTCAGGAGCTGGAAAGGGAAGTTATATCATTTCCTACTCACACAGAAATGTTTGGAAATCTGCTTGGTCTGGACCAGCACTGACAGAACAGATTAATCCTTCCCAAGCAGGAACACCTTCTACTCCTGGAGCCTCTACTCCTGCACCAACCTATGGCACTGCAGTGCAGTACCTTACCAGACCATGTTATTTTAATATTCAAGATAATCATCTCAAATGAAAGGGCAGGACTGCTTTTATCACCATTCTCAAGTCTGGAGGCTGAGACAGAGCAAGATTGCGGAAAGAGCTACAATGATATCTAAGAATCTAATGCTCACTAAAACTCAGTCAGAACTAGGCTTCATTAAATGTCTTTGAATAAGGGCCCAACCAGCTTGCCTAAGACAATATAGTTCTTGTTCTGCAGTAAAGAATAAAATCTGTGATTCCAAAGGATTACAGAAGTGTTTTAACCACAGTGTTATCCTTACTTGGGGCAGGATAATGAGCTGCAATGCCTTTTGAGTTCCCTTCCAGACAGATTACTTTTTTCTTTATCATTTTTACTTTTAAACTTCATTATCATAGTCCCACCTGGTTCTCGTGTCACAGAAAATTAGTCTTACTTAGTTTGGGCTATTCTGCATGAAACAGAAGGCAACTTCTACTGTCTCCTTTCATCAAAATAAAAAAGCCTGTGAAAGTTCAAATTCAATACTGATTTCAAATATCCTGAGGAGCAGAGCAGCTCAAGAAAATATTCCCACTTGACTCTGTTTGAAGCATACATTGTCTGATCAATTTAATTTGCCAGGCAGATTTCTGCACTCAGCCACCCTGGTTTAGATCCAGGATATGGAAGGGGGGAAATTAGGGCAATGTTAGACACTCTCCCACATACCCACACTCCAGACCTGTCAAGCTCCTATCAGCTAATTCAAAGAACTAAAATTTGGAAATAGGAATGGAAATTAAGTGAAAAATATACTTGTAGTGAGGATAAAAACAAGGATAGAATGCCACCACAGGCATGGAAAAAAGAAGTTAATAAGTGGAATGTTTAATGAATGTAGAAATATTGATTTTGGAATAAACAGATTCCCTCCTCCTCCTCCTCCACATGAAATAAGTGTTATTTTGAGCAGTAATGGGCAATCTTCCACATAACGTGAGGTGCCTGGAGGAGGCTTTCAACACTTCCAGATCGAATGGAAATATTCAGAACAATCCTATGTATTTCCATGGGTTTGTTCCCTGAGGTAAAGGGGAAGCAGATGTGACCCAGGGGAGAGCCCTGCCAGCTGTGGGGGACAGCAGGGCAGTGGGGCTGGTTCTGAGGGCTCCTGGAGCTGCTCCTGCTGGACACAGAACAGGCTTTGCCCTCCTCACGGGTTGTTCTGCTGGGGCCAAACACAGCATCCATGCCCAGACTGATAAATATTCCCCGTGCTAGCAAACCATCGGCATTTTTTCAGCTATCACCACAGCAGTGGTGCACAGGCAGTGGGGTCCAGCTCTTCTAAATGCCAAACACTGGCATTTCCTCCATTATTCCTCAGTTTATGGGGTTCTCTGGGCTGTAAGGCTTCAAGCAAGGGCTATAGCTGTAAGGAAGGATCAGATAAATGCAAAAGCTGCAGCTCAATATCTATTAGAAACAGACCAGCAAATCAAAAACCACCCAAAAAGCTTCTGTACATTAGTGAAGTTCTTTTCAAGGCAAAGAAGATTGAAAACTGATTATATAGGGAACAATTACTGCAACATCACAAGATCATAGAATGTTTTGGTTTGGGTGGGACCTTAAAAGTAATTTACTTCCAGCCTAGAAGTACTAGAAAAATTCATCCTAACATATTTGCTCACTGTTACTCTCTGGTTTGTTGTCTCCAGGGATGACAGAGGAGATCAGTGCCCAGGATGCCCAATCAATGTTTAGTTTTTCTGCGGAAGGTCTGTATATGGATCCCATTTATGACCTGCTCATAAATAAGAGGGGGCTGAGACCACCAATACATTTCACAGGGGCCCATGAACAGCTGCCAGCTGGGGTTTGGTTTCCATCAGCAGGTTCAAGCTAAGTCTTGTAGCATCCAACATAGAGCATCTTGGATTACCAGTTTCCAGTGCTGGGAATGCAGTTTACCTGCCCTAAAAAGCCAGAAAATTCATAATCACAGAGAGAGTTGCACCCCAGTTTTGCTCAAGGTGTGAGCAGGGAGGTGCTATGAGGGGGAAGGCTGAGAGAGAAGTAGGTGGAGCAGGAACAGAACAGAGTTCATTGTTTTTCTGGTGGGTAACTTGAATTAAAAGACAGCTCTAAGAGAACAGAAAAGAATAACTCAGAATAGAACAGTTCTGTGCTGCTGTCTGACAATTCCAAACACTCCAGAATTTTTTAATGAACACATTCATGGTTCTGACTCCAGAGTCTCTCTCTGAAAGAATGGCATATTCAAAGGAACATCACAGAGCTGAGCAAACATATGGCTTCTAAGATGTTAAGGATTTAGTAGGTGACCCACAGAGGAGAAAGTGGGTGACTGACACATCACTTCTGCCTGCCTTGATTTCCCCACTCTTGAAACCAAAGTGTGCCAGGCTGCACTTTGCAGAGATAGAGCAGCTCTTGTTGCAACATGTGCTGTGAGAGTGACATACAAAACGTGCCAGAAGAGAAACTGAAGAGCTGAGGGTCCCCTGGGCTCGGATTCCGAGGCCTCAATAGCACAGCAGTGGGAAGAATGTTGCAACAACTGAACAAGCCTATTAATATTCCTGCCTGAGAGTATTAATCATCCCATTGTGAAGAAAACAACACTTCACTTTAGAGGAGAAACCACAGGCTTGTCGCATATCACTCATTTGTCTTTCCAGTGTTAGCACTCTTTCAATTAGGCTGGATTTTAAAGGGTCTTTTTTTGTTGTTGTTGTTTTGGTTGGTTGGTTTTGGTTTGTTTTAGAGGCTTTAAATGAAGAAATGGAACCATACCAAAATCTGGTCCCAAGAAAACTCTGTTGTACCAGACATTTTCTTTGAGCTGAATTTACCTCACTGAGGTTCTTTATATTTCTCCTTTCTGGCAGTGTCAGAGAGCCCAAAAGAACCAGGGTGTGCAGGGACACAGGTAGGCAGAGACAATGAGTGTGTGTGGCCTTTGCCTCTCTGGATGTAAGAAAAGGGATCCATTTTTTATATGCTGCAAAGGTGGGAGGAGGGTGATATTCAAGGGAATCAGAAGGAAATTTGATTTCAGGGTGACCTAGAAGAAAAGGGGGTGGGGAATCAGTTTCTGCCTCTACATACAAAGGAGGAAGGAGATGAAAATACCTTGTTCTTACTTCAGAACATGAGGCATTGTTTGTCCTGATAAATTCATAAAGAGGTGATGCTAGAGCAGATCCATGACACTGGATTATTGCAGAGTTTTATCATCTCAACCACTCAGTGCATTTTGCAGGCAACCAAGAAAAATATGGAAAACCAGGCAAGATGCAGCAGGGTGAGCAAGGTCCCTCAGTGGCTGCTCAGGGGCACATTTGTACCTTTCAGTAAGTGGGAAGTGACAAACCTCCATCTGCCATTCCTGCAGCACAGGAACATCTTCACTTGGCAGTCAGGAGAGATGGGCAGCACTCTGCTACAATCCACAGCTTTGGTTTGGTTTGGGTTTGGTTGGATTTTGTTTGTGTTTGGTTCGGGTTTGCTTTGGATTTGGTTTGGTGTCATTTGGTTTGGTTTGGTTTGGGTTTGGTTTGGTTTGGTTTGGTTTGGGTTGGGTTTGGTTTGGTTTGGTTTTGGTTTGGAGAGGTTTGGGGAGGTCACTCCCTTGTTTAGCCCACCATACTCCAAGCCCCTCAGAAAATGCTCTTAATAATTAATAATGACATAATGTGGTGTTCCATACAGCAAAGTCAAAAACACGAGCAGAAACACTTCCTTACTCAGCCACTTATTGTGTCTTCTAATTTTTCTATGAAAGACAACTCAGTGGATGAGCAGGGAGAGAGCCCTGCAGGGAGAATCAGCAGTGGACACTGTTAAGAGCTTGATTTTGCTGTCCTGTGCCCTTAAGTGTTTATTCAGTCCAGGACAAAGTAGACATGAGATACCACCAGGTTTTTACTGTTTCATATTTTGTATTTTCTTCCTCTGCAACTACATGTACAACTACAGAAAAGGCAGAATCATCCATCATTTTGCTCAGACTTTGTCCCCTGCTGTGATCCACTGTATGATGTCAACTCTCAGTTACTATTACTTTTTCATCCATCACACTCTCTCCTTGTTTTTCATCCATTCTGGGATCTCGGTGCTGACATTTCCTGTCTTCAAATTTCTGTTATCATC